GTCGTCGACAATGATGAGCCACGCCTCTCTCGGGGCCCATCACCACTGGCGGGAAGCTCCTTCTCACTCGGGAGCAGTGGGTTGCCTGCCAAGGTCACCGGAAGAAGGGGGAGCCTTCTTTCGCGACAGGCGGCCGCAAGCGTGGCAAGCCGCGCAAGGCGTGTAGAGACGCCCAGGCCGGGGCGCGAGGACGTACCGAGGGTGATGCCCGTGGAGGCGCCCAGGGCGGCGCCGCCGGCAAGCATGAGACGACACCTGCCGCAACTGCAGCCAGCTTGGCCATTGGGCCAAGGACTGTCGACAGCCACGACACGGCCAGGCCCACGTCGCACAGGCGGAGGAGCCGGCTCTGTTCATGGCACATGCAAGCATCGAGCTACCTCTAGCGGCACCGGCCGTAGCGGCTCTCCTCCACCTTGACGAGCCAAAAGCACACGCCCTCCTCGGCGACGGCTCCGGCAACGACAAGACTGACGGGTGGTGCCTCGACACCGGCACCACCCATCACATGACCGGTCGACGAGAGTTCTTCACCGAGCTTGACTCTAGCGTCCGAGACTCTGTCAAGTTTGGGGATGCCTCCGGCGTGGAGATCAAGGGCGTCGGCTCCGTCATCTTCACCGCCGTGTCTAGTGAGCACAGGCTGCTCACCGAGTCTACTACATCCCCGCGTTGAGGAACTCTGCGACGTCTGCGTGTTGACGAAGCAGAGGCGACTCCCCTTTCCCCAGCAGGCGAGCTTTCAAGCCAAGGAGAGGCTCGAGCTTGTGCACGGGCACTTGTGTGGCCTGGTGACACCGGCCGGGGGCACCGGGAGGACGACGCTACTTCCTGCTGCTCATCGACGACCTCTCCCGCTACATGTGGGTGATGGTCCTCGGCAGCAAGGGAGAGGCTCATGGCGCTCCATCAGCGTCGTAGGGCTTTGTGAGGCGAGTCGCGGCCGCAAAAGGTGCGCGTCTGCGCACCGACAATGGCGGCGAATTCACGGCGGCCGAATTCGCGATCACTTGGCCGATAAGGGCATTCAAGCGCCACTACTCCATCGCCGTCGCGTCGCTGCGTCTTTCATTTAGCAATGGCGGCTACTCACGGCGGCCGAATTCGCGTCGTCTTCACTTGGCCGGGCATTCGTAGCCACTACTCCACGCCGCATGTACGCAGTCGCGTCGTCGGCGTGCGTCGTTTGCTCGCAACGCAACCGAGACGGTTGTGGGGATGGCTCGGACCCTTCTCAGCGAGAGGGGATGCCGGCTATCTTACGGGAGAGGCGGTGGTGTCGGCCGTCTACATCCTCAACCTTTCGCCTACCAAAGCGCTTCGGCGACAGGACGCCGTCTGAGGCTTGGCATGGCGCGCAAGCGGCGGTCTCCCACTTGCGGATCTTGGTACGCTCGCGTTAAGCCAAGGAGCTTGGCCACATCGGCAAGCTCGGCGGCGAGAGCACTCGGAGTGTTCATCCGCTTCGCGGAGGCTCGAGCCTACCGCATCCTCGACCCAAAAGACACGGCGTGTGCGCCGCAGCGCGCGACGTTGTGTTCAACGAAAGCGAGATGGGCGTGGGACAAGGCGGTGGATGGCGGCTCGGCTCCGGCGTCTGGCGACTTCACTGTCCGAGTACGCGTCCACTTCGAGGAGCCGGGGAGTAAGCGGCTCTTCTTCGACAAGCGCGTCTACCCCGGTCCCCGAGCCTCCATCGACCCAGCGCCTGGTACTCGACAAAGACCACGCTCTCCGGCCGGGACCTCGGTTGTGATGAGTTCTTCACGGCTCCACCACGGCCAGCACCGCCACGCACCAAAGACCGACAGACACCTCTCCCGCACACGTCTACTCCAACACCAAACCGTGTCGAGCACATGCGGCCGGTTGAGCTCGCTACTCCGCTCTCTCACGACGAGGAGCGCGATCGACGGCGCATACCACGGCGGCGAGCCGTTCGCGGCTGTCGATGGAGAACCTTCTCGGCGACCACCGGTCTGCGAGAGACTTGTGCCTCACGACCTGGAGGCGCGATTACACCTGCGTGTGACAACGACGAGCCTCGGTTGTTTGCGAGAGGTCGAGAGACACGCTGGCATGGCGCAAGCCGCGATGCGATTGGAGATGGATGCGGTTGAGAAGAACCGCACTGGGAGCTTGGCGACCTTCCTCGTGGTCACCGTGCGATCACCCTTAAGTGGGTGTACAAGCTGAAGAGGATGAAGCCGGCGCCATCGTCAAGCACAAGGCTCGCTTGGTGGCACGAGGTTTCGTGCAGCAGGAGGGGTCGACTTCGACGACGCCTTTGCTCCGTGGCGCGGATGGAGTCCCGTCGACTCCTCCTTCGCTTAGCTGCCCGGAAGAAATTCACGCTGGCGTGTTCATCACATGGACGTCAAGTCGGCGTTCCTTAACGGCGACTTGAAGGAGGAGGTCTCGATGCACCACCGCGGATTTGCGATCCCCGGCAAGGAGAAGGTGTGCTCACTTTGCGCAAGGCCCTCTATGGCTTACGACGAGCCGAGAGGCGTGGAATGACAAGTTGGATTCCACGCTAAAGGGATGGAGCTTGAGCAAAGCCCGCGCGAGGCGTGCCATCTACCGGCCCACACCGGTGGAGGAAATGCTCGGTCTGTGGTGGGTGTCTCAGGACTGGTGATCACCGGCACCAAGGATGCGACGACGACTTTGAAGTGATCACCTTCCAGATGCAGGTGACACCAAGACCGACCTCCTCACTGGCCGGAGCATGAGGTGCGAGCATGAAGGAAGAGATGAAGGCCACCTTCCGGATGAGTGACCTGGAGCCTCTCCTTGGGCTCACTGACCGCTGGAGGAATCGAGGTGCACAATCCGCTCGTTGCGATGAGTCCGGATCAGGATCACGAGCCTTCTTCACTTTCACGCCTTAAGGGAGCCTTCGTTGAGCTAGTTGGGCATTCTCACCGACTGAGCAACCTGCTCATGAATCTCAACCCCGATGGGGAGACATTTGGCTGAGAAATCAACACTGCGACGTTGTCCCAACTCCTAGGATGGTTCAACTTTCCCACAAGGCGGCACAAGACTTAGAGGGAGAATGATCTACCTAAGTCCACTGGTTGGGGGCCTCTCTTTTCATTCTCAGTCATATGGTCGTTGTGGACATGCATGGTGGTCTTCTTTGGCCATCAAGGACAACATCCTTGACCAAGAGGACAGCATCTTAGCATATAGGACAAAGATCTGTTTTAGGACAGCATGTTATCATCTAGCATCTTGGCATGCTAGGCATCTTGGCATGCTTGGCATGGCTAGCAGCCTATAAATATGCATTCCCAACCCCTCAACGCATGGCATTTGTGTGAGAAATAAACCACGAAAATTGTCCCAACTCCTAGTGTCATCCTCTCTCGATGAGAGTAAGAATTCTGCTACTACCAAGAGTAAGAATTCAGGACTAACATCGAGATACCGGTTGATTAAAGGTATTACCTCACACCTCAAAAGCATGTAGAATTACCTAATATACACAGATTTGCTAATTATTTAATTTCTTGCAATTGATGAACTCATAAGAACAAAGTCAGACACCACAACTTGCAAGGTCGATACTTGATTGCACAAAGTGCCCGTGAAAGCTTGCATACTTTGCAGTGAAAGCAGCCTCAACCGCTCTCTTATCTTGCCTCACATAGAAGTTGATTATCAAGGAGGAAGAAATGGATGTTGATGAAGAAGATGTGCAAGAACTGCGTGATCAAATTAGCAAGCTTCACTCTTCATCTGAAGATACCTTTGATGACTTAATGGATGCGGAGAGGAGATGAAAACACTCCTTGTTCTATGGGAAGAAGTCCCAGAAGATGATCAAGTTATCATAGATGATTTTGAAGTTTCAAATAAGAGCACAAGAAGTATCTAACAACAAATGCTAAGGAAGATGGTTATGACATTTGTTCCCAAAATCTAGTCTGTCAACTTAGTGCCTCCCCATGGTTGTCACCTATTAATTTCCTACATTGTGCTCTTCTCCAAAAGATCCACAACAAGGCAAGAAAGAGCATCATGGTCCTTGTGGGAAGCAAGCATGGTGTATCTTCTTGAGCCCATCAAGGACATCATCCTTGACTGGCTAGGACTCATCTTAGCATATAGGATGACAATCTGCAAGAACTTTCCCAGTGACAGATCATGTTAGCATCTAACATCTTGGCATGCTGAAGGCTACAAAGCATTACCTATAAATATGCATTCCCAACCCCTCAACGCATGGCATTTGTGTGAGAAATAAACCAGTTAAATTGTCCCAACTCCTAGTGTCATCCTCTCTTGATGAGAGTAAGAATTACTACTACTACCAAGAGTAAGAATTCAGCGACTAACATCGAGATACATCAGCAAAGGTATTACCTCACAGCTCAAAAGCATGTAGAATTACCTAATATACATTTGCTAATTATTTAATTTCTTGCAGGATGAACTCATAAGAACAAAGTCCTAGACACCACAACTTGCAAGGTGGATACTTGAAAGCACAAAGTGCCCGTGAAAGCTTGCATACTTTGCGAGTGAGCCTCAACCGCTCTCTTATCTTGCCTCACATAGAAGTTGATTCGGAGGAAGAAATGGATGTTGATGAAGAAGATGTGCAAGAACTGCGTGATCAAATTAGCAAGCTTCACTCTTCATCTGAAGATACCTTTGATGACTTAATGGATCATGGAGAGTGGAGATGAAAACACTCCTTGTTCTATGGGAAGAAGTGGAGAAGATGATCAAGTTATCTATCATAGATGATTTTGAAGTTTCACAACAGGAAGAGCACAAAGAAGTATCTAACAATACAAATGCTAAGGAAGACCTCGTTACGACAAAAATCTAGTCTATCAATTAGTGCCTCCCCATGGTTGTCACCTATTCAGGATCCTACATTGTGCTCTTCTCCAAAGATCCACAACAAGGCAAGAAAGAGCATCACTTCACCAAGCAAGCTTAGAGTATCTAATGACTCACCGTGCAACCCGCCTCTCACTCCGATGGGGAGAGGTGGTGAAGCTGGCCAGCCCGAGGACAGGTGGGCCTCCACCTTCGCTACTCGCCCTGCACGGCCGGGACTTGGCATTCTCCGTCGACTCGTTAGCGCCTGCTCGCTTGAAGAGGATCATCGCTTTGGTGATCTCCTCGGTAGAGACACTAGAGCGGTGGAGTTCAGGATGGACAGCAAGTCCGCTCTGGCCCTGGCAAAGAACCCGGTTTTACATGAACGGAGTAAGCACATACGGGTAAGGTACCACTTCATCCGAGGCTGTTTGGAGGAAGGGAGCATCAAGGCGAGCTACATCAACACCAAGGACCAGCTTGCGGACCTGCTTACCAAGCCTCTTGGGAGGATCAAGTTCCTTGAGCTCTGCTATGAATTCCCAACCCCTCAGGTTGGCATGACATTTGTGTGAGAAATAAACCAGAAAATTGTCCCAACTCCTAGGATGGTTCAACTTTCCCACAAGACGACGCACAAGACTTAGAGGGAGAATGATCGGATAAGTCTCTGTGTTGGCTGGTCTTTGTGGGGCTGCAGCATATGGTCCTTGTGACTGCATGGTGGTCTTGCTGCCCATCAAGGACAGCATCCTTGACTGGCTAGGACAGCATCTTAGCATATAGGACAGCATCTGTTTTAGGACAGCATGTTATCATCTAGCATCTTGGCATATGCTTGGCTGGCTAGCAGCCTATAAATATGCATTCCCAACCCCTCAACGCATGGCATTTGTGTGAGAAATAAACCAGAAAATTGTCCCAACTCCTAGTGTCATCCTCTCTTGATGAGAGTAAGAATTCTGCTACTACCAAGAGTAAGAATTCAGCGACTAACATCAGATACATCAGTTAAAGGTATTACCTCACAGCTCAAAAGCATGTAGAATTACCTAATATACACAGATTTGCTAATTATTTAATTTCTTGCAGGATGAACTCATAAGAACAAAGTCCGGAGACACCACAACTTGCAAGGCTGGATACTTCAGTGCACAAAGTGCCCGTGAAAGCTTGCATACTTTGCGAGTGAGCCTCAACCGCTCTCTTATCTTGCCTCACATAGAAGTTGATTCAGAGGAAGAAATGGATGTTGATGAAGAAGATGTGCAAGAACTGCGTGATCAAATTAGCAAGCTTCACTCTTCATCTGAAGATACCTTTGATGACTTAATGGATGCGGAGAGTGGAGATGAAAACACTCCTTGTTCTATGGGAAGAAGTGGAGAAGATGATCAAGTTATCATAGATGATTTTGAAGTTTCACAACAGGAAGAGCACAAAGAAGTATCTAACAATACAAATGCTAAGGAAGACCTCGGTTCTGACAGAAAATCTAGTCTATCAAGTAGTGCCTCCCCATGGTTGTCACCTATTCAGGATCCTACATTGTGCTCTTCTCCAAAGATCCACAACAAGGCAAGAAAGAGCATCACTTCACCAAGCAAGCTTAGAGTATCTAACAGCCCAGGTGATAGAAATGTTGAAGTGTGTAGAAATAGTGAAGTCCAGTCCTCTCTCCAATCAAGCAAGCTTAGCCCCACTGACTCACTGGCTGCAAGTCTCCAATGTGGCTTGCACATTATAGAGTATCATCAACAGAATCCAGCCCCACGAAAATCATTTATTGGTCTTTCATTTGACCATTTTACGGTGAAATTCAGTTCAGTCGTTCAAACTCTTCCTGAGGACCAAGGAAGCAATCTTTGTTCATCCTGCAAGAAGCCAATGAACACAAATGAGAATCAGACAGAAAATGTAAACTCAGAGAAACAGATTGTGTTAGCCTTGGGTGCCACATCTAATGAATCAGCTAGCGCTTCAATTAAGGTTTGTCTTTCAAGCTATATGATTGAACTATTTTATTTGATTCGTGTCATCTACTTAACCATTTAAATTGACCAGGACGGCAACATAACCAAGGAAATTGCATCCAAGAGAGAAACTGAGCTTGAAGCTTTATGTGAAGAACAAGCAGCAAAGATCAAGTAGCTGAGCACTTTGGTATGTACAGAGATGAATCAAATATACTTCAGACATTTATTTCCCTTTCATTTACATTTTCATCTGTTGTGTTGCAGATTGACCAATATAAGAACAGGTCAGAAGATGGCCCAGATTCAAATGGTATGGCACCTGCAGAAGAACTAACTAGTGAAGGCAAGGTTTCTGAACAATGTCATGATAGTAAGGTGTCACTCAATGTGAATGAGAGGGAGGCACTTCTTGCTGAAATCGAGAGTCTGAAGGAGCAACTCAAAAACCAGACTACTGAATCAACAACTGGTAGCCTTCTTGATCAGTTAAGGAACGGCAGCACAGACCAGGAGTATGAACTTGACAAAGAAAGGCAGAAATGGATGGAGTCTGAGAGCAAGTGGATCTCACTCACCGAAGAGCTGAGGATCGATCTGGAATCAAACAGGATGCATGCAGAGAAGACCGAGATGGAGCTCTGCAATGAGAAGAAGTGCACAGCAGAGCTGGATGACGCTCTTCAATGGGCGATGTACGGCCACACCAGGATGGTTGAGCATTATGTTGAGCTCTGCCGAGTGATGGGCGATGTATAATGATCTTCTCGAGAAGCACCGCCGAGTGATGGAAGCGATCTATAATGATCTTCTCGAGGGCGATGTATAATGATCTTCTCGAGAAGCACCGCCGAGTGATGGAAGCGATCTCTGAGGTGAAGAGGGCGGCTGCCAAAGCAGGCAGGAAGGGCTGTGGGACGGCCTTTGCTGCTGCCCTTGCCGCAGAGCTTTCCACGGTGAGAATCGACCGAGAAAAGGAGAGGGCTCAGCTGAAAGAACAGAACAGAAGGCTCCGCATTCAGCTGCGAGACACCGCTGAAGCTGTTCATGCTGCTGGAGAACTGCTCGTCAGATTGAGAGAAGCTGAGGAAGCATCTACACTAGAAAAGGTTTCAAACTTAAAACTAGTCATTGGTGTTCTTGTCTAGTTATCGTACAAGGTGAAAAGACAACTCTCAATTGTGTGCTTCCGCTGTTTTGCAGGAGAGGACTGCCGCGTTGTTGCAAGAGAACGAGAAGCTGAAGAAACAGCTAGAGAAGCTGAGGAAGAAGCACGAGATGGAGCTGGAAACGATGAAGGTGCACCTTGCAGAGAGCCGGCTGCCGGAGTCGGCTTTGGGTGCCTTCTACCACCACGAGAACGAGAGGACCCCGGAGTACTCGTGCGATGCTCCATTGACGCACGACGACGATCAGTCTTGGCGGGCTGCGTTTGCTTCTGCGTACGAGTGAATGGAGTTACCTGATTGGATTGCTTGGGAGTTGAGACTCGTCAGCTGAGCCTGGTTGACAATTGGGAAATGGGGATTTCTTGGACCTTTTTTCCTTTCTACATGAAGTTTATTATAATATGGACAAGAGCATGTAACTGATTCATCTGCCATCTGTCTGGGCAAAATTTCGGCTTATACTGTAGTGAAATGTATTACAATGTATTTGTCTGAGTTTGCAGATATGTATTGAGCCCCTGATTAAACTTGTATTGCAAATATTTCTGTTTTTCTGCAACGGATTGAAAATCTTAAGGGTAAAATATGCATTTCATAATTAGATGCTTCATGGTCAAACAAAGACAGTAGTCTCATCTGGATGCTAACTTCAACAAAAGTCGCCTCATTCATCACCACCGTTGTCAATCAATAACTAAAATTCAGATGTACAGCGACTGTTCTCAGAATGTTGCTTCCAAGGGCTAAAAGCCTGTTTGATTTAATTCACTCGAAGAACTTGCTAAAACTAGAGGAATGATAAATGAGCCCTGTTCGTCTGGGCTTGTTTGCCTGATAAGCCATGGCTGAAAGTACTGTTGGCTGGTTTGGTGTGAAAGAAAAATATTGTTCGTTGACTGATAAGCCAAATACGACCAAACGAACAGGCCGGAGGTTCTGCCCAAATGAGGTTCCACCTTCTATCATCAGCTTGCAGCGTACGAAGTCCTGTGCTGCTTCAACTGTGGTGACATTTGGTAATTTCTTTGATCAGCAGGAACGTTGTAGAACTCTGCAAGGTACTCCAAAGCTTCATGATTCCCATCACAAACCTTCCAAAGTGACGCCACTTCCCCCGGAGCAACTGTGCCCCACTCCTGGCAGTCATTCAGAAAGTCCAGCAGCTTGGAGTAATAAGAATCGTAGTTGAGGAGCAAGAACGGAACCGGGAGCGCTGACCCGATCCTCTCCAGTTGAATCAGCGCCATGATCTCAAACAACTCGTCCAGTGTCCCGACCCCTCCTGGCAGTGCAACCACGGCAGTTCTGTCAGTAGGGCTGCTCCGCACCGCAGCATCCACCAGGCCATGCTTCCTCGCTGAGAAGAACCTGAAATTCAGCTTAGCACATAGTGATCGCCATGTGCATAAGTTGTGCAATGTGAATCTTATTTTTGCATCCTCAGGAAATTCAGGTACCTGCATGTGAGGTAGGTCTCCGGTGGCAGGTAAGGATGGAAGCCTGAGCTTGTCCATTCACCGGCCTCCTTTGCAATCTTCAAGCCGCCAACCAGCTTGTCTGCCTCAAGGGCACCTTGCATGGCAGCATCCATGAGCCCAGGGCCGGCTCCGGTCCATGTGGTGCAGTCGAGCAGCCGAGCTATCTATGCAAAGACAGGTAGCTGACCAAATGCATAAAGATATGCCAATGACTCTCATGTCTACACTACACTCTACAGCTACTTGCAGTCGAATTCGATGCAATGGCTCATGTCTGAATAAATCTTTTACGGCGTTCTCTAACTCTTCAAGGAACTATGTTAGTTAGGTCAACAATATGCCTGCTGAAACTAGCAACATGTTGTGAATGTTAGATTGCTAATAGTAGTACTGCTTGCCTCTCTGGCGAGCTCGGTGGTTTGGAGGAAATGCGGGTGCGTGGGCGGGACCCTGGAGGAGCCGAGGTAGACGGCGCCCCTGCCGAGGCGGCGGACGAGGTCGAAGCACCGCGCCATCTCCTCCCTCACCTGCACAGGCAACCAGGAGCCCATGAGTGAGTCCTGAGTTTGGCAGGAACGACGAGCGAGGGACGGGCCGGGGATAGCAGATTAGCAGGTGGGTCACCTCGCGGGGGCTACTCCTCGGAGGACCCAAGACCGAGCCAGCTTCCGCTTCCGCCTCCGCCTCGAGCTCTCCCAGCTGCTGCCGCCGCCGGTCGCCGGACGCGGCGGCGATGGCGCCGCGGGGACGGGCTCCCCCGCCGCCGCAGAGGCTAAGCGAGGCCGGCAGGGGCGGACGCGGGCGCCAACAACAAGGAAGGGCGCGGCGCTGGCTGTGCCTGAACCCGAGAGCGGGATGCAACCGGGGTCCGAATTCAGCCCCAACCGAGCTCGCCGCCGCCGCTTCCATGGACATGGATGGTGAATTGGTGAGTGTTGCCTGCCGCCTCCTCGGTCAGTTCGCACTCCCCTCTACCCGGGCCTGTTCGCTTGTGTTTGAGCAACTCCAGCACTAGCCTCAAAAACAGGCTCCTACTTAAGTCCTCCTAATTAAATATGGGGTCTTATATAAAAATCTTACTTCAGTAGGACTACGGACCCCAAATTTGTTGGGTCAACAAAATCCACCCCATAGCCAACAGATTTGTTGGGTCAGCTTCAGCCCCGATCCGACAGTTTCATCTGGTTTTTTGCCCGCGCGCGCGATTTCTTCCCACGCTCGCCCCTCCCGCCCACTCGCGCGTCATTTTTCCCCGGCGTGCACCGCTAGGGTTCGCAGCACACCGTCAATCCTCCACTCGGCTTCTTGTGCGAGCGTCCCTCGATTCCCTCGACGAGCTGCGACCTCCGCCCCCTGCGAATCCCCCTGCGAGCGTGACCCTCGGCGCCGCGAGCGTCCGGTGACTTCCCCGGCAAGATGCGACCACCGCCCCCTGCGAATCCCCTGCGAGGCGCGACCTCCGGCTCCGGTGACTCTCCCATCGAAGGTACGACTGAAGCCGTTGCTTCCTGGTCCTTTCGAGCCCTCACAGAATAGAGGCATATCGCAAAGAAGTCGCTCACCATAGCCATGCATGGCGCGCAAGGTAGGAGAGGTGTATTGCGGCCAGGGAGCACAGCGTGGAGAACATCTTTGCTCTCTTGCTTCCTTTCTACGTTACAAGCCTGAATGAGCTGTATCCAATTTGGATCCTACTAGTGTGGTACTGTATGATGTGATGTTTTTTTAATTCTATCCAATTTGGATCCTAGTAGTAGTAGTGTGAAATTAAACTGGCTTGCCGCAGGTGTTGTCTATATGTACTAAAATAACTGCTTTCAGCTTGTTACTCCACACATTTATGCAAACTCTAGATGGTTGGGAGCCCAAAACATTAATTATGTGTTTTTTATACAGTTTGTGATATGTCGCAGGGAGGTCCTTGGCCACGAATGGTTTTCGACGAATTTGAGATTGATGACACTGGAATTTCACCTAGTCAACCTAGTGCACCAAAGAAGAAGGTAATCTGTGCTGCTAACTACTCTCTGGATGAAGACATCCAATTGTGTGAATCTTGGGAGAACATAAGTTTGGATCCTATCACTGGAAATGAGCAACCTGGCAAGGCCTATTGGAAGCGAATTCATGATAACTTTCATGCGAACAAAAAATTTGCATCTGATAGGAATGCGAACTCTCGTGAGCATCGGTGGGCGACAATTCACAAAGAGTGCCAGAAGTTTCAAGGCTTATATGATGAGGTTGAGCGCCACCATCCTAGTGGAGTGCCATACCAGGAACATGTGAGAAATTTATTAGTCGCTGCATCATTGTTGCTAGAAGTTGCTGCATCTTTGATTTTGTTAAGCTGCTGCATCATTATCTTTATTAAGCTGCTGCATCTTTGATTTCAGTTGCTAGAAGCTCAAAAATTATATGCTGGTGAAAAGAAGAAGCAGGGCTTTCCTTTCCTTCATTGTTGGCAGATGATTAGGCATAGCAAGAAGTTTGTGCCCCCTGTCACCAACAAAAGGCCTAGGGAAAGCAATTCACCACCAGGAACAGTGGATGTGTTTGATCTAGAAGATGGTGAGAGTAATAAGAGCCAAACCCCTGACTCTGCTATGCCTAGCAGTAAAAGGCCTATGGGGAGGAAGCAAGCTAAGGAGAAGCTGAAGAAAGGAGGAGAACAAATGGATTATAGCTTGATAGAGAAATTTCTTTCAGACAAAGAGAAAGTTAGAGAGGATAGGTGGCAAGAGAACAAGATGATGCATGAGCGCAGATTAGCACTTGAAGAGCGCAAGATTGAAAGTGAGGAGGACAAAACGCTATGGGAGAAAGAACAAAAGATTATGTTTTGTGACCTTGAGAAATTAGACCCCTCCCAGAAGACATATGTGATAGTAATGAGGGCTCAGATTGCAGCACAAAAGATGGCGGCCTTTGTAACAACCCAAAAATCCACACACCAAAAATTCCAACTACAAAATTTTTTCTACAAAACCCTATGTGATGTTGAGTAACACATGTAGAAGCCAAACCCTAGTTTTGGATTAGATGTGACCCAACTAGGTTAAAATCATAAGCATAGCTTGGTTTTATGCCACATGTGTAATTAAATTCCTAAGTAAATAAATCATGCATGCATCCTTAATTCCACTTGTGATTTAGATTCTTTTGCCTTATGTGATGTTTAACTAACTTACTTAATATTTATGATAAACCATAATATATGGGATGTATTTTGACCACCATATGAAACACCTTGTGGGACCCACTACATAACTCGAAGCTCAAGTTTAAACTCTAACTAAGTTTGAATCGAAGCAAAAGAAATAAAAGAGAAAGGAAAGAAGAGGGAGCAGCTCAGCCCAGCTTGCCTAGACCGGCCCAGCTAGCCCAGCCAAGCCTCGCCTGCCCTTTCACGCACACAGCCGATGAGCTGGACCTATCCGTCAGCCGTCATGCACCGCACGCCGCCGCATCAGGACAAGCTGACAAACAGGGCCCCTCTATCAGCCGCCTAGCTACAGCGTCATCGTCTTCCCCACGCTTTCTCCCCACGCGACCAGGAGCCGACCACGGAGCAGACGCGGGCCCGAGGTCACGCACATCGTATGCCCCTGTTCCCCCTTGCGCCACGCCTACGCTACCACACACGGTCCGTCGGATGCGCCGCACGCATCACCACCGCTCGATCGTCATCCGCCATTGGAGCCCTTGGAGCTCGGCTATAAAAGCCAACGCCCGCGAGCCCTAACCCTCAGCCCATTCGCCGCCGTCGCTGGTGGCACAGCACCACACCGCGTCAAGCCGAGAGAGAGGGAGGAGGAAGAAGCAAGGAGGAGAAGGAAGCCGCTGCGGAATCGGACCTCACCGGAGCCAGGAGCGCCGCCCAGATCGGCTACAGCGACGTAGCTGCTCGGCACGGCACTGCATCGCCTCATCACGGCCTCGCCTCGCCACCACACCACCATCTTACCGCCACGAGCCCTACGGTGAGCCACGTCGTTCGCCGCTCACCGCGCTAGCCGTACTCGCCATGAACGCCACCGCATTCCCACACCTGGGGAACGCAGAGGCGGAGCATTCCCGCTCCAGGACACGCTGCACATGCACAGCACGCGCACCAGCCCAAGGTCTGGCCTCACCGACCCCTAGCAGCTTGGGAACACCGGCACGACCACTCCTAGCCTCTCGGACGCCATGAACGAACCACGTCGGAGCACGAGCTCTTGCTCCGGCTTAGCCAACTGGTAGCATAGAAGGACCACCATGACCCTCTTGTTGAGCCAAACGGAAACGCGAAGCAAAGGGAAGAAAGGGGGCGACGTCGAGCCCTCTGCTCAGGAACGCCAGCGCCAAGCGCCCTACTTATGCCATGCATACGCATCGCATGCACGCACGCGTGCTCACCATGGCCAGAGCACAACCATGGCGAGACCACCACGTCTTCTACGTCGCGGTAAAGGCGACGTTGACACCCTGACTGGCTCCGCCATGACGAGAGACACACCACGCTCACCTTAGCCAAGGAAGAAGCCCACCGGAGCCCTGCGTTGCCGCACCGCGCCTCATCGGAGCGCCACCGCCTCTGTTTTGCCCCCACCACCGTGGCTGGAGCCACTGGGAGCATCAGGAGCTCCTTCAACACACCTACCATGGCCGTAGAAGCACCGTGGAGCTCACACGCTCCTCTAACTAGGCTCTCGCTACCACTGCAGTCCTGTCCATGCACGCCGACGAACCCACGCTACCGTTCACCATGGCCGGAACCCTAGGTAGCACCAGTCGCCACCTTGACCCCACCACTGCACTCGCCGAGGCCTGGCGACGCTTTTGCCTACCTTAATCGCGCACTAGTACCACCCGAGAGGCTCACCTGCGAGCTCACCACCGGCGAGAGCAAGCCGGGAAAGAAGATGGGGATTTTCCCCTCGCCGGCCACATGTCCGTGCACTTGGTGCACGTGAACCGAACCCTGGGAAGGAGTAAGTGGACCAAGTCCTTCATAGACCGGCTCTATGGTCTATGGACCAACGCAGGCGGGTTCACCATGAACCGCGCCTCACCTGTCAGTCACCGTTTGACCCCGGAACCACCTGTCAGCCGCGGTTTAGCTCTGATG